AAACATTTGTGCATAATCAAGATACCAGGCATATCACAGTTGTGCATCATCAAGATACCAGGCATATCACACAGTTGTGCATCATCAAGATACCAGGCATATCACACAGTTGTGCATCATCAAGATACCAGGCATATCACACAGTTGTGCATCATCAAGAAACCTGGCATATCACACAGTTGTGCACCATCAAGATACCAGGCATATCACACAGTTGTGCATCATCAAGATACCAGGCATATCACACAGTTGTGCATCATCAAGAAACCTGGCATATCACACAGTTGTGCATCATCAAGATACCAGGCATATCACACAGTTGTGCATCATCAAGAACCAGGCATATCACACAGTTGTGCATCATCAAGAAACCTGGCATATCACACAGTTGTGCATCATCAAGATACCAGGCATATCACACAGTTGTGCATCATCAAGATACCAGGCATATCACACAGTTGTGCATCATCAAGATACCAGGCATATCACACAGTTGTGCATCATCAAGATACCAGGCATATCACACAGTTGTGCATCATCAAGAACCAGGCATATCACACAGTTGTGCATCATCAAGAAACCTGGCATATCACACAGTTGTGCACCATCAAGATACCAGGCATATCACAAAGTTGTGCATCATCAAGATACCAGGCATATCACACAGTTGTGCATCATCAAGATACCAGGCATATCACACAGTTGTGCATCATCAAGATACCAGGCATATCAAACATTTGTGCATCATCAAGATACCAGGCATATCAAACATTTGTGCATAATCAAGATACCAGGCATATCACAGTTGTGCATCATCAAGATACCAGGCATATCACACAGTTGTGCATCATCAAGATACCAGGCATATCACACAGTTGTGCATCATCAAGAAACCAGGCATATCACACAGTTGTGCACCATCAAGATACCAGGCATATCACACAGTTGTGCATCATCAAGATACCAGGCATATCACACAGTTGTGCATCATCAAGAAACCTAGCATATCACACAGTTGTGCACCATCAAGATACCAGGCATATCACACAGTTGTGCATCATCAAGAACCAGGCATATCACACAGTTGTGCATCATCAAGAAACCTGGCATATCACACAGTTGTGCATCATCAAGATACCAGGCATATCACACAGTTGTGCATCATCAAGATACCAGGCATATCACACAGTTGTGCATCATCAAGATACCAGGCATATCACACAGTTGTGCATCATCAAGATACCAGGCATATCACACAGTTGTGCATCATCAAGATACCAGGCATATCACACAGTTGTGCATCATCAAGAAACCTGGCATATCACACAGTTGTGCACCATCAAGATACCAGGCATATCACACAGTTGTGCATCATCAAGATACCAGGCATATCACACAGTTGTGCATCATCAAGAAACCTGGCATATCACACAGTTGTGCACCATCAAGATACCAGGCATATCACACAGTTGTGCATCATCAAGAACCAGGCATATCACACAGTTGTGCATCATCAAGAAACCTGGCATATCACACAGTTGTGCATCATCAAGATACCAGGCATATCACACAGTTGTGCATCATCAAGATACCAGGCATATCACACAGTTGTGCATCATCAAGATACCAGGCATATCACACAGTTGTGCATCATCAAGATACCAGGCATATCACACAGTTGTGCATCATCAAGAACCAGGCATATCACACAGTTGTGCATCATCAAGAAACCTGGCATATCACACAGTTGTGCACCATCAAGATACCAGGCATATCACACAGTTGTGCATCATCAAGATACCAGGCATATCACACAATTGTGCATCATCAAGATACCAGGCATATCACACAGTTGTGCATCATCAAGATACCAGGCATATCACACATTTGTGCATCATCAAGATACCAGGCATATCACAGTTGTGCATCATCAAGATACCAGGCATATCACACAGTTGTGCATCATCAAGATACCAGGCATATCACACAGTTGTGCATCATCAAGAACCAGGCATATCACACAGTTGTGCATCATCAAGAACCAGGCATATCACACAGTTGTGCATCATCAAGATACCAGGCATATCACACAGTTGTGCATCATCAAGATACCAGGCATATCACACAGTTGTGCATCATCAAGAAACCTGGCATATCACACAGTTGTGCACCATCAAGATACCAGGCATATCACACAGTTGTGCATCATCAAGAACCAGGCATATCACACAGTTGTGCATCATCAAGAAACCTGGCATATCACACAGTTGTGCATCATCAAGATACCAGGCATATCACACAGTTGTGCATCATCAAGATACCAGGCATATCACACAGTTGTGCATCATCAAGATACCAGGCATATCACACAGTTGTGCATCATCAAGATACCAGGCATATCACACAGTTGTGCATCATCAAGAACCAGGCATATCACACAGTTGTGCATCATCAAGAAACCTGGCATATCACACAGTTGTGCACCATCAAGATACCAGGCATATCACACAGTTGTGCATCATCAAGATACCAGGCATATCACACAGTTGTGCATCATCAAGAACCAGGCATATCACACAGTTGTGCATCATCAAGAAACCTGGCATATCACACAGTTGTGCACCATCAAGATACCAGGCATATCACAAAGTTGTGCATCATCAAGATACCAGGCATATCACACAGTTGTGCATCATCAAGATACCAGGCATATCACACAGTTGTGCATCATCAAGATACCAGGCATATCAAACATTTGTGCATCATCAAGATACCAGGCATATCAAACATTTGTGCATAATCAAGATACCAGGCATATCACAGTTGTGCATCATCAAGATACCAGGCATATCACACAGTTGTGCATCATCAAGATACCAGGCATATCACACAGTTGTGCATCATCAAGAAACCAGGCATATCACACAGTTGTGCACCATCAAGATACCAGGCATATCACACAGTTGTGCATCATCAAGATACCAGGCATATCACACAGTTGTGCATCATCAAGAAACCTGGCATATCACACAGTTGTGCACCATCAAGATACCAGGCATATCACACAGTTGTGCATCATCAAGAACCAGGCATATCACACAGTTGTGCATCATCAAGAAACCTTGCATATCACACAGTTGTGCATCATCAAGATACCAGGCATATCACACAGTTGTGCATCATCAAGATACCAGGCATATCACACAGTTGTGCATCATCAAGATACCAGGCATATCACACAGTTGTGCATCATCAAGATACCAGGCATATCACACAGTTGTGCATCATCAAGATACCAGGCATATCACACAGTTGTGCATCATCAAGAAACCTGGCATATCACACAGTTGTGCACCATCAAGATACCAGGCATATCACACAGTTGTGCATCATCAAGATACCAGGCATATCACACAGTTGTGCATCATCAAGAAACCTGGCATATCACACAGTTGTGCACCATCAAGATACCAGGCATATCACACAGTTGTGCATCATCAAGAACCAGGCATATCACACAGTTGTGCATCATCAAGAAACCTGGCATATCACACAGTTGTGCATCATCAAGATACCAGGCATATCACACAGTTGTGCATCATCAAGATACCAGGCATATCACACAGTTGTGCATCATCAAGATACCAGGCATATCACACAGTTGTGCATCATCAAGATACCAGGCATATCACACAGTTGTGCATCATCAAGAACCAGGCATATCACACAGTTGTGCATCATCAAGAAACCTGGCATATCACACAGTTGTGCACCATCAAGATACCAGGCATATCACACAGTTGTGCATCATCAAGATACCAGGCATATCACACAGTTGTGCATCATCAAGATACCAGGCATATCACACAGTTGTGCATCATCAAGATACCAGGCATATCAAACATTTGTGCATCATCAAGATACCAGGCATATCACAGTTGTGCATCATCAAGATACCAGGCATATCACACAGTTGTGCATCATCAAGATACCAGGCATATCACACAGTTGTGCATCATCAAGAACCAGGCATATCACACAGTTGTGCATCATCAAGAACCAGGCATATCACACAGTTGTGCATCATCAAGATACCAGGCATATCAAACATTTGTGCATCATCAAGATACCAGGCATATCACACAGTTGTGCATCATCAAGATACCAGGCATATCACACAGTTGTGCATCATCAAGAAACCTGGCATATCACACAGTTGTGCATCATCAAGAAACCTGGCATATCACACAGTTGTGCATCATCAAGATACCAGGCATATCACACAGTTGTGCACCATCAGGATACCAGGCATATCACACAGTTGTGCATCATCAAGATACCAGGCATATCACACAGTTGTGCATCATCACGATACCTGGCATATCACACAGTTGTGCATCATCAAGATACCTGGCATATCACACAGTTGTGCATCATCAATATACCAGGCATATCACACAGTTGTGCATCATCAAGATACCAGGCATATCACACAGTTGTGCATCATCAAGATACCAGGCATATCACACAGTTGTGCACCATCAGGATACCAGGCATATCACACAGTTGTGCATCATCAAGATACCAGGCATATCACACAGTTATGCATCTGGATACCTGGCATATCACACAGTTGTGCATCATCAAGATACCAGGCATATCACACAGCATGTGCACATGAAGATATTATATACCTGTTAGCTAAACTGACAAGACACATAAGAAATTAACACAACACACAGAGCATTATTGAGAAATTCCTCACCACGATGTATTTCAGCTCACAACCCCCTGCTATCTTAACTCACCTGCTCACAACCTCCAGTCTATCTTAACTCACCTGCTCACAACCTTAAGGCTATCTTAACTCACCTGCTCACAACCTCCAGTCTATCTTAACTCACCTGCTCAAAACCTCAAGGCTATCTTTACTCACCTGCTCACAACCTCCAGGCTATCTTAACTCACCTGCTCACAACCTCCAGGCTATCTTAACTCACCTGCTCACAACCTCCACAATTTTGGCATGCTCCTCTGCTGGGCTGCGCAGAGCCTTCCGTCTGGTGGCGACATTGTAGAACAAGTCCTCCACCTACACAGACAATCCATATAAACCACAGGACACTGAGTTGTAATGATCAACACATTTTCTACAGGACACATGCACAACTCTTCGATAACATACAACTTTGACAAGGGCTCCAGATATGAGCTAAGCCACTGAGAATTCATATAGCATTACTGTGTTTTATTCTCTGTAGTAGACATAATGTTAATGTGTGGTCTGCATTAATAATTATTAATAAAGAGTATTGAAAAGAAAACTGTAAGTCAAAGACCAAATGAAAGCTTCAGATTTATCAAACAATCCCAAAAGAGTTTTAAAATATTGTCTGAAGTACACAGTCCTTAGTGTACAAAGACACTGGCTCACCGTGATCTGCGTGCCCTGGTTGCCTGCACAGGGTTTCACAGCCTCCTTCAACTTGCCATCCAGAAAACAGCCCCTGTAACAAGCAGGAACAGCAGTTAGCAGCATCCCACACCTGTCATATTTCTCTACACTACTATGTTTCCCAAATGTCTGTCAATGCCCTGTAAAGCAGTTACATGTCAAGTCAGATGTGAAGAAAAGAATATGGCCTGCATATTCCTCATAACTTTCAAACATGAAGTCAAGTGAGCTGGCAACAAGTGTACAATGCTGTTTGGTAATGTCATGTTCCCTTGTACTTGGGAAAACTGGCAAAATATTTCATACAACATAACAAGGAAGGCATTCAAACAGTCCTCAGATTTAATCGACAGTCAAAGTGGAGATAACTCTGTACGATTATCTCCCCTTGGTTACCCCTTGCTCTAACCACAGGTTTCACAGTTAAAACAATGTACAGTTCCACTACACTAAATCAGAATCACATGCTCCCTGAGCGATCACCGTATGTAAACAACTGAAGAGACAGAGACCTGTGACAGCTGTGATTGGATGAAACAGTGTAAGATGTTTATGCTTTTTAAAAGCACATCCACCCAGTAATTAAAACTGACCACAATTTCAAGTATTTAGTGCTGTCATTTTTATCACCATTACTTATGCTTATTGTGTGTACAGATATTTTCCAGTAGGTGACAGTTGGTGTGGAACTGGGGTTGATGTGTTCCGCTCCCTGTGCTCGGAAAATGAGCCAGACAATATTGCCAGAAATTGTGTTTTATTGTAGTTTAAAGGCCTGACTGCACCCATGTGTACATGGAATGGCTGTTGACAGCCTGGATGATTTTTAAAAGAATATAAGGTTACTATAGAAGTCTATGGGAAAACATTTGGTGTTGTGTAACCTAAACATGGGACCTGTTTCCTCAACATTAAAGCTACAGACTAACACAATGTTAACAACACAGTGGAAAACTGTAGTGATAGTGACACAGCTCAGCTCTTCATTGTTAATGCCCTGCTGTATAAGACGACAACTTTTATCCTTTGCAGTGAGTGAGTATGGTTTTAAGCAGTTTTAGCAATATTCTAGCAATATCACGGCAGGGGACACCACAAATGGACTTCATACATTGAACCCATGAGGGAGATGAAATTGATCTGTGTGAAAATAATGTCACATAACATTAATCATAATGATTTGTGGTGCATTCAAAATTTCAGCTGTTTCATTTTGTATATCATTCAAGACTATGCTTACGAACTGGCTCCAAACTGAGTGAGTGAGCGAGTTTACTTTTACGCCGCACTCAGCAATATTCCAGCTATATGGCGGCGGTCTGCAAATAATCGAATCTGGACCAGACAATCCAGTGATCAACAGCATGAGCACCGATCTACGCAATTGGGAACCGATCACATGTGTCAACCAAGTCAGCGAGCCTGACCACCTGATCCCGTTAGTCGCCTCTTACGACAAGCATGGGTTACTGAAGGTTCATTCTAATCCGGACCTTCACAGGTGACTCCAAATTGAGCTGGTTGAACTAAAACATATATATACCTGTAGGCACATTTAGATTCTGCTGTCCTGGTTGTTATGGTGACATGGGCTACATGACTGATGCTGGCTAGAGCTTCACCACGGAAACCATAGGTTGATATAGACTGGAGATCCTCAAACTTCTGTAACTTGCTGGTAGTGAAGCGTTCACAAACAATGTCCATATCTTCTTTCTAAACAGATCAAATATATTATGAAAATGACAATAAATATCAAGAAAAATACAAAATTTGATTGCGAGAATCCCTGCATGAATGTACCTTTAAAGCAAGAAATATCAGCTCATTTCACTTTGAAATTTGGCATGTCTCAATCGAGAGGCTGGCCCTAATGGAAAGGCAATGTGATAGTGAATGTTTCAGAGGGATAAGCCACGACGGTAGTAGCCTCCTGGCTGTATGGACCTACCCTTATGCCAGTCCCATTGTCCTGTATCTGCAGCAGCTTCAGACCTCCCTGTTTCACCGTCACCTGGATGTTGCTGGACTTGGCATCAATACTACAAACAAAAGTGGGTCTTAGTAAAACATAATTCTGATACATTCTCTCGTTTTCATCACTATCCAAATAGTTACAAAAAAACATACCAGCTTCTTAATGAAAATATACAGTTTTCACACTTCAAGAGCAAAAAATTAAATAGCCACACATCAAAAACTAAACAATGATAATTACACTGCAAATCTAAAAACACATACTCACACAATGAAACTGTACACATAACACGATATCTGCAATTACCAGAAGCACTTATTGACATCGGACTCAGAGGTACAGATAAGCTGCGTATCTGCTTAAATTACACAAATATTTATGTTAAAACCCAATTCCTATTAAGTCTGTTGCATACAATTACGCTTGATTTTTTGTAAATAGTCAATAAAAGAGATCTTACATGTGTACACGCAAAAATATGAAATCTTATCTTGCGTACCCGGTGGATAGATAAAATAACTGAGGTATATTGAGAGGTTCTATTTCAGGACATAAACTTGACAAGTTGCAGTCTTTCTTATCGTTTCTCATATTACAGATCAAATATATATAACAAACACTAACATTTAAACTTTATTATATTTTTATAATTAATGGAAAATGGCAAAATACCCAAATGAGTTTAAGTGAGGTGAGTACAAGGTGAGTACAATTTATTTGGTTACTCTAAGGAAAATGAAATGAACACAAGCGAGTACATAACTCAATGGCCTAAAAAGCTATCTGTAGCTCTGGGACTGTATGATTACTTTGGATACATAAAAATTCCGTTTTCAATGTAGATGAAAGCAAACATGCATTCTACATTGGAGGCAGCAAATACAGACTCATTCATGATAGGAAATATAATGGGTTAATGGACCAATGTTTTGAATGGGTTGTTGATCCAACTTATGGAAACATAGTACTGTTCTGTGTTCGTGGCATATGCTGAACCATGGCTCCCCTGTATCATTATTTGGCTATATGTATCACGTCACTAGCATCTGGCATTGTGAAGCATCTTCCCAGCCATGTAGCATCACACCTCTTTTAACATACCAGTTCTCTATCATCTCCTTTAAGGCGTTGGCTGGCCTCTGTATCACCTCCCCTGCTGCTATTCTGTTGACAACAACTTCATCCAGCTTACGGATGGATGGCGCGGGAGCTTTACCACTCATTTCAAATTTGTTGTAACTGTAAATGACATAATATAGATATCATGAAGAAAACTTGAATCCTCAGGAACTCAGCAATGACGTATTTGCACCACAGTACATGAATAGTCCACTGCTGGTAATATTGGTTTTTGTTTGTTTGTTTATGTTTAACGCCACACTCAGCAATATTCCAGCTATATGGCAGCAGTCTGTAAATAATCGAGTCTGGACCAGACAATTAAGTGATCAACAGCATGAGAACCGGTCTATGCAATTGGGAACCGATGTCATCTGTCAACCAAGTCAGCGAGCGTGACCACCCAATCCCGTTAGTAGCCTCTTACGACAAGCATGGGTTACTGAAGATCAATTCTAATCTGGATCTTCACGGGTTGTTGGTGTGTTGATAAACCATGGTAAAATGGTTTTAAAATCCCAAACTTTCAATTTATAAATGGTATGGATGTGCTAGTAGTTATATATATCTTACAATGAAATGAGTTATACTCTCATTTGCCATTTATTCCAGATGTAAAAATAACTCACAAAATGGTCATAAATAAACCAAATGCACACGTTGCTGTGTGGACCCTTATCCAGTGAAATTGACATTTCTTCAATAGTACTGTTTTGTTTGACTTTTGGTAATTTCGTATTTGTAAATATTCAGAAATCACTTGTTTTACGGCCTGTTTTACAGTTGTTTAAGCTATGCGCAAGAAAACAACGGATGTTCTTGAGTGTCCGAAAACCCATGATACAAGGATAGACCTAGACAACCACTAGTCTATGAAATGAACATATTTTACAGAAAATAATATGGTTCATAAATAATAGTCATAAATATTATGAAAAGTAGCCCTGACTCTTCATTTCAGAAACTGAAACTGTGGAATCTAGACTGGCCACATATTCTAGACTTGCATGGCGTTTCTTGGATATATTATTTGTTTCAAGGTCTGTATGGCAGACTAGGACTTCAGACTTTTCGACACATCGGGAAAGAAGCATGCAATTACACATTATCTGATCATGTCATGTCTATATGTCATTTGTGTCCATGAATTAGTTACCTATTAGTTCCAAATTAGTTGTAATATGCAACACAAGCTTGTTATTGCAGATCAGCGCAAAGACATATATGACAGTCACATTCTAACCATGCTGGTTCCCGCCGTGTTGTTTTCTTGTTCGACTTCCGCTTAGTGGGAATTACCTCCCTTGAAGACTGGCGGGGAGGGACGGTCTCCAAAGTCAGTACAGTTTTCATTAATTCAGTAGTATCTGTCATTTGCTACATTTGCCACATACATAGCAGAACATTGTAGTCAAAGATTATATGCACACACTTAAATGCCTGGTAAATAAACATACGCGTATTACTCAAGGCATAATGGGTTTTGATATTTTCAAATTGTGATTGTTTCCCTTAGTCAACGAGCGCTGAAGGTTGGCGGAAGTAGAGTTGTAACGTATTTGAACTTTGTCTATCTCACCTGGTTATAGCCTTAAATATACTATGGTCATGAAGGACAAAGTTGATAATTTAATAATTCTTTTTATAACCACATTTCTTCGAAGTCGGAACAATAATATATGAACTTAAGGAATTAACAAATTGCTGATTAATGTATACACGTGGAAAAAGTATCGCAAAACCTGATACTTTTTTCTCTCAATGTCTTACAAATTGTACTATAATAACATTATGAAAATAAATGAAAACAACAACCTATTACGTGTCTCAAAAGCAAAAAAAAATCATGTTGCACGTGCTGCAGGTAACACGTGTGGAACAAATGAAACACTTGCACCCCTCGTGTGTCGTGTCATGAAAATACAGTTTCAATTACCATACCTTTCAAGGGCCACTGATCCAGAGCGATTAATGTTTCCAGCCAACAGTCTGATTACGAAACCTAGCTGCAAACTGGTCAGTCCCTGCTCCCTCGACCGTGACGGACAAGGGGACTCGGCTACTGTCCACCCTGGCAAAATTGAAAATATCCCCTACAGTTATTGTCTGGTTGTAATAAAGTATCGGAGCAGTTTAGACTTTTTCAGATTTTCAAATGTTTGGATGGTATAATGACTGATCCAATTTCTGTCTTTTTTTACCTCGATATTTAATAATGTAAAAATATTATGTCTATTACGTATGCTATGATATAAAAAACACATTTGATATATTTGAATCCATAAGCTAAACCCCACTTTGCCATTGCTAAAACAAATCTGAAACTCTGATAATTCCTCTTGCTGCACTTCCATGCGCATATTACATACGATGTAATACATTTGCCACATCAGACCTCAATTTATAATGATGAGTATTTACTCCAGACACAAGAAATGCCAAATGGGAACCTTTGTCGGGTAATCTGAGTGGTGTTATCACTAATTATACATGTTATAAATTCATTAACGGTGACTGATGACAAATAACATGTGTATGTTTACCACCAAACAAGGTTACAGCAAGAGAGTAGTAATCGCTGTATTACATGCAAGTTTGATTGCCTGAAAAAAAAGTTGCTGTGTACTTAGTTTTAAAAACTGTATATACCTATGTACCTAAGTAAAATTTCCGATTTTTGTTTTGCAATGGCAAAGTGGGGTTGTTCAGTTTATGGATTCAAATATATCAAATGTGTGTTTTTGATATCATAGCATAGGTAATAGACATAATATTTTTACATGATTAAATATCGAGGTAAAAACACAGAAATAGGATCAAATTGGATCAGTCACTATACCATTTGAAAATCTGAAAAACACCTTTACTGCTGGGATACTTTATTACAATCAAACAAGAACTACCGGGGATATTTGTTCAAATAACGGCATCTGATGGGCATCCACCCTTCCTAATGTCCCACTGATTAGGTTGAAGAAATTCTGCCAAGGTGGACAGTAGCCGAGTCCCCTTGTCCGTCACGGTCGAGGGAGCAAGGGCTGACCAGTTTGCAGCTAGGTTTCGTAATTAGACTGTTGGCTGAAAACATTAATCGCTCTGGATCAGTGACCCTTTAAAGGTATGGTAATGCCGGGTTGTCCATGAGACAAATTGCCAGGCAGTTAGGTCACCATCCCTCAACAATAAATCGAATAGTGAGGAAATATCACCAAACAAACGATATAAAGGATCTGCGTCGTTCAGGCAGACCACGCAAGACATCAGCTAGACAAGACGCAGCCCCTCTTAGACTTGTTCGGCGATTTCTCTTTGCACCAAGTCCAATGTTAAAACGGCAATGGCTTCCACATCAACAACTCTGTAGGGCATAAGGCCAGGAGACCTTTGTTGACATCTGCCCACATGGATGGTTTCGCTATTTGTTACTGACGGAAGGACGCGTGTGTGGCGACAGAGGGACATGGCGTATGCCGAAATGAACATCCTGGAAGAAGTTTCGGCGGAGTATCCTTGATGGTATTGGGGCGGGACTGTGTGTATATGACTGCAAACTTCAGCTTGTCACAGTGAGATCAAATCTGAATGGACAAAGATACCAAGAGGAAATGTTGAGGAGACATGTAGTGCCTCATTTTGATAAGCATCCCCTATTAACAAGGCCAGTCTGTATGGATGACAACGCCGGGCCACATCGTGCACGTACAGCCATTGGTTTCCTACAACAAGAAGCCATGACCACCTTTCCATGGCCAGCCAGAGACCCTGATTTGACCTTTATAGAACATGTAATGTTCGTCAGAGAGATCCGCCAGTCCCGAATATTGATGAATTAGAGCAAACATTGCACCAAGAATGGAACAGGTTGCCCCCAACATAGGATTCAGGGCACTTTATGAGGACGAGGGTTCAAACGTCATCCAGGTGGGCGGAGGTTACACAAGATACTGACTGTGTCTTCTGTTTCTGAAACTAGAGAACCTATTTGTGGACTGGGTGTATGAATTAGGCATATGTATGTGTTACCCGCTTGGGATGACCATCCTTTTTTCCGACACATTATGTTATCTTAATTTCAGTTTTATACCAGGACCCATGTTAATCAAATGATACCATGTTAATCAAATGATACCATGTTAATCAAATGATACCATGTTAATCAAATGATACCATCTTAATCAAATGATACCATGTTAATCAAATGATACCATTCGGGTTCCTTATTGTTGGCTGTTGTGTTGTGCTATGACGAGCATTTGTGTGTTGTGCGTTTCGTACAATATGGCCACTATTAAACGTGTTTTGGTATGTGGCCTGGTATGTGGTCTGTCCATCTTGATCCGGACAGTTAAAGCTGTTAAAATCACGGATGTATGACGATTGTATTCCCGGGCCAAGTCGGGCGGAACACTTCTGATAGTTTAGCGTATAGTTTCACATTGAGTTTTTAATACCACGATCTTTGACACTGGAACACATTTGATGATACAGTTGCGACGTTATAGTTGACTGACAGCCCCGGTCAAGTCGTGACATATTTTACAGGATGTGTGAAATGAACAATCACAATGTGCCATCTGGTGTATGCTATGGTTGTACATATGCCTTGGATATTAGATAGTGAGATGGCACATAAGGCACAATAAATCAAACACATTCTGTACTACAAAATCACATGTGGACGGCCTCACAGGTGTGCTTCGGGAGGGAGGTAATATTGATAGGTAATTCCTGACCCACAGGTGGTCAAATGGTCACCAGGAAACAAACACGGGGATATATAGTGCGTCTAAGTTAAAATATGAAATTGTGATGTTTGTTGTCGATGCGTCATATTGGAAAATGTCCTTCACTTATCACGTGAAATCTTATTGAGGCAAATCTTTTACCAGAAGTAGAAGCTCTTTGGTAGAAAGAGCACACAATATTGAATCCCCAAAGTAGTGAAATATAGACACCAACGCCTAAACCTGGTGAAATGTTCGACATAAAGTGGGACAGCTAACTGTTGGACGGTCACCCCTTTTGATAAGAGTTGTGTTTTTCTACTCAGATCTATGCATACACAGAGATTTAAATATGAATGTATTTGTGAACGCTGGATATATATTTGAACAGATACACACGTTCGGTTTTACATTCTGCAAACCAGGTTTAGAATTAAGAGACATTTATCAATGGTAATGTTAAGCCCCTATGATGCAAGTACTTGATTACTCCACATTCCTCGAGTTTGTCCATTACTGAAAGGGGATACAGCCCTGTTTATTTCACTGACCTGGATCAATGACTCTACGATATTTTTGTTAAGTCCACAACAAAAGACTTCACAATCAAGCAATTCGTTCGAGTATTTTGAGAACACCTGGTGTCATCACTGATCAGTCACATTCAATCAATACTTGATTCAGTATAGACACCTAGAGCCGATATACAAATAAATGTACACATGTAGTGGTGACATTATGCATATAATATTTTTAAACTTTGGTTCATAAATACATTCTTCTCTTCATACTCATGATAAATAGGCAGAGTGGTTTTATATGTTCTTTTCCATTTTGCAAATATTTTTGTGTGTGTGAATGTATGACTGTATATTTACGACAGTGATATATGTCGTCTGAACATATTTACGTCTTATTGCATCACAGGTAGCACAGTCACGGAGATTGATATTCGTCTCCTATACCTCGATCATATACAGGACAGTTTCCCATGCATCTATACCTCGATCATATACAGGACAGTTTCTAATGCATCTATACCTCGATCATATACAGGACAGTTTCTCATGAATCTATACCTCGATCATATACAGGACAGTTTCTAATGCATCTATACCTCGATCATATACAGGACAGTTTCCCATGCATCTATACCTCGATCATATACAGGACAGTTTCTAATGCATCTAAACCTCGATCATATACAGGACAGTTTCTCATGTATCTATACCTCGATCATATACAGGACAGTTTCTCATGCATCTATACCTCGATCATATACAGGACAGTTTCTAATGCATCTAAACCTCGATCATATACAGGACAGTTTCTCATGTATATATACCTCGATCATATACAGGGCAGTTTCTAATGCATCTATACCTCGATCATATACAGGACAGTTTCTAATGCATCTATACCTCGATCATATACAGGACAGTTTCTAATGCATCTATACCTCGATCATATACAGGACAGTTTCTAATGCATCTATACCTCGATCATAAACAGGACAGTTTCTACATGCATCTATACCTCGAT